TTAATCCACATTTGAAGGAAGTATACACATCACTTAGTGTCTGGACATGGATGAAGTTTCCTTCTTAATAAATACATACAAAATTAGTTGATGCAAAACATTAAGTATATTACACACATATGTGACAGATCACGCTGCACCTGCACTCCGAATTCGGCTGTGGTTTCCACTGTACTTGGAGTAACACCCAACCCCAATCCTCTGATGGCCTACGAAGCCTTCTGTTCTAGGCCCTCTGACTTTTCTGCTGACATACTTTTTCCTTCACTCTGTCCATTCCAGCTACACTGTGTCCCTTGCAGTTCCTCAAACACATCAGCACCACCCCTGGTGCAGGTCTTGTGCTTGTTCTGTCTCCCTGGAAGAATCTTTCCCCAGATGATCCGTAAGGCTGTCTCTCTCACTTCTTGCTGTTCCTAGTACTAAGTCTAGAGTCTAGTAGAGGAGGCAGAAACTAAAACTGAACACTGGCAAATGAATTTCAAATTTTAGTAAGTCTGTGGAGGGAAGATATCATTATAAAACTGTTCAATGGGAAAAAACAAGACTAAGTTCTTGGTTCTAAAAGGTTTCCAATTACATTTATAAAGTTAATTTGACATAATTATTAATACAACCCAATTTTACATTTTGAAACCATTTTCTTTTCACAGGATTCTTCACATTTGGAGGAAATTCAACTTATCAGTTATCTAGTTTTTTCCCCTAAATAAGCATATACTTTAAAGAACTATGTGCTAGTTATGACTTTGAATCTCTACCTCCACCTTTTACTATAGATGGCATCATACTGTAGAAAGCAAAACACAAAATACGCATAAAAATTTGGGAATGGAGGTTTACAACCTTAGTATTATACATCAAACATTTCATTTGTTCACTAATAAAATAATTTCTTAAACTCTTAAAGTAACTTTTCTTTTTGGACTTAAAAAATAGGAATATGATTTTAAAAAAACCCTGCAGAACTTTGCAATGTAAAACTATCTCTTGTTTTCTTCTATCCTAGAAAAAGTCTAGCTATGAAATATTTGATACACAAAATCCATGGTATTGAATTTAACATTTGCAAGTTGTCATTGTTCTGAATCAATATTAAACTAAAAAAGAATTAACAATGATTTTAAACAGCAAAGTCCATGGGTGTGAAGTTATCAGGGTGGGGGGATAGTACATACCACACACACACACACATGAGAGAGAGAGAGAAGCAATAATCACACTGATGGAAGTGAAACCTTTTAAAGATAATAAAATCATTGTCAAGTTGAACTGACAGGAAAGAGAAGGGAGACTTCTTTCATTATCTCCCAAAGAATTATAATTTGAATAGAGGAAACAGATATAAGTGATAAAAATTGAAGGACCCTTTTTTAAAGCATTTGCTATAGTGTTCTATATCACCAGAGCAGGAATGCTAATTAGTCAATTAGTTTGAAAGTTATGCTCTTGTAAACTAAAATACTCCTCCAACAAAAGGTGTTCACAAAAAGAATTATTGGTAGAGAAGTGACGGACATTTGAATATAGTTTATCTAACATTCTGCTGAACAAGAGACAAATGAACTTGTGGGTGATTCCCAATAATGGAAGGTTTTAAAATATCAGAAATACAATGTCAGTTAAGTGTGAAATTACATTACCTAAATTTCTGTAATGATTAATTTTTGTGTCTAAAATAGAAGACAATCAAATCTTTCCTTAAACAGCAGGAATAGAACTCTGAAGTAGCCAGCCACCTGCCGTTACCATGTTGGGGTGGACACATCACCTTCCTTCTTTTGTCTGCAGAAATTGACCAAGCTATGAAATCTCTCCAGCACCTATTCAAAATCAGTCTTAACACTTCTCTTCCTTGATAAGCTACAAATTCCCTGATGCCAGGCACCTGTTTTGCCTTATTCATCACGGTATTTTGTGGGGGTGGAAGAATTTGAAATTTAAAATATGGTGGAGAGGGAAAGCCTTGTTGAGAAGGGGACACTCGAGCAGAGACTTAATATGAGGAAACTGGCATGTGGCTATTTGGGGGGCTCGGAAGAGGCAGACTTTCAGGTCTAAGGGGAGCACATGTGATGTGTTTGTGGAAGGTCAAGGAGGCCTGCACGGCTGACGCCAAGTGAGCAAAGGGAAGAGGAGTAGGAGAGGAAGTCAAGGAGGCTAAGGGGACCAGGGTTTGGGAATTTGCTCTTACTGGGATGAGAAGTCATTCAGATTCAATTGAAAGTATGAAGTAGCAGATTTGTATTTTAAAGGGATTATAGAACTGCTTTTTGAGAATGAATCAGAGGAATGACATGGTCTGACTCAACATTTAAACAATATCCTTCTGGCAACCGTGCAGAGAATAAATTTAAGGGGACAAGGAGGGAAACAGGGGCACAGATGAAGGAGCTATAACTAAAAAGCAGAGTGGCAATGACAGTGGCTTTAGTCCAGGTGGTAGTGATGAAGGTGCTGAGAAGCTGTCCGATGCTGGACCTGGCAGGATATGCTTACAGGAAAGGTGTTTAATATGAGTGTGAAAAAAAAAACAAATCAAAGATAGTGCATGGTTTAGGGTCAGAGTGCCTGGAAGGACAGAGTCGCCATTTACTACAAAGGAAAAGACTCAGCTGGGGGAATACCAGAAGTGTGAGTCTAGGACTGAGACACTAACTAGAAGGCCGTGGGGCTATTTTAAGTCATCAGTTGAATCTCAGTCTGGAGTTTAAAACTGGAGAGAGAAATCTGGGAATCACGAGATGACATCATCCGGGGGACAGAAAGGTCAGCCCTGACTATATCTAGAATGACGCTGCAGACCACAGCAACAATGGAAGGTCATGGAGATGAGGAGGAACCAGAAAAGGAAGATAAGGAGGACCAGCTGCTGAGGAAAAAATAAATGAGACCCAGTGATGTACCCGACACAAAAGGAAGAAAGAATTGCAAGAATGTGGTTGGCCCAAAATCTCCACACGTTGCCAAAAACATCCTCCTCACCTTTCTGTCTTTCATAGGCCCTCTGTCTTAGACAGGGGACCCTCCTCTGTGTCCCTAAATCACAGTGCGGGCCTCAATTACAATGCTAATCAGAACCCAGACTGCAGTTTCACTTCTCTGCCTTCTCCTCCCTATCAAAAATATGAGTTCCAGAAGCTTCATTGGAATGCTGGAATCTAAAAATATCTCTGGCAGATGGAAAGGAGGACGTTACATTTATTAAGAGCTTATTGTAGAGCAGCCAACATGTTAATACATTTACTTAGGTACTCAAAAAATGTTGATAAAAGAATGGAGGAAGTGTTGAATGAACAGCAGAGATAAGACAGATGATAGATAACAGCGATGGGTACAGTGCCCAGGTGGAGCCTGGACTCAAGGCCCATGCACCCGCTCCCATGGATAATAGCAGCAAGCTAGCAAGATTACTCAGCTAACCCCTCTTGCTCTCTTTCCAAGCTTGCCAAGCAAGATTTCCAAAATGATTTTGTTTCCTTCAAAGATTTTCTTGAGTTAGAAAGTGGTAACTAGCAACTTGCTGCTGTTCCAACTGACTGCTGTATTTCTCTTTGTGCATCAATAAATTAGTGTTCTGTTTTAGGCACTAGTCTATTGTAAGTTTACATTAATTTAAGTTTTTTACAGTGTTTCTTTTGGGACTTCTAGGGATGATCAGCCTGTTTTGTTTTCTTTCAAGCAAAATAATTTTTTGAAATCAAAATGGGGCTGACTCAGGCAATCTCAAGAGATTGTGATACAGAAATCCAGGACATGCCTATGGTGCGACTGATTACTAAAGGAAAATATTGATTCCCATTTATTTTACCTCGTGTTGACACTAACGGTCACAGTAAGGATTCTTGTAGAATGCACCAGGTAGACGTTGCTATGCAGTGACCTGAGCAAAAAATGGTATTTTTGTTGTTGTTTCATATACGATCCATTTTTCTGAGTTTGAATTTATTCCCTATGCTGAAAAGTAGAATTCCAGAGCCATACAAACACACTCTAGGTCTAAACCTAACATGTGTTAGTGTGGCCAATCTTGCTAAGGTAGATCAATTTTTGATGCTCTGATAAAATAGGGTGTGTAGTCCTTTAAGACCCAAAATTTGAAGAGCTATGGTCATTTGCTCTTAAGATGGTAACTGGGCTCGAATTTCATCTCCCTCTGAGATAACTGTATTGTCTCTTCAATAGAGTCAAAGAAAATTTTGGGTGAAATTTTTTGGATCAATGACATCAGGTAGATAAAACCTTTGCCACAGTCTTTACTTTTTAAAATGTGTTCGAAAGTATTATTTTCTCTATTTTTATTGACATCAGGGAAATGAGAAGAGAATTCACAAGTATGTAATTTCTTATTACTAAACTATCTATCAACCTTTATAACCAAGCTAATAAGCCCGTTGTATTTTTATGTCTTAAGAATATCTGAAACCTAAATCCTCTTCACACCCACTGTGACAGTCAGATTCATGCTGGGAATAGACTGATTCACCCAAGTTAGCTGTACTTCTGACTGTGGAAGCTACCTATCACCTGTATTCTTCCTTAGAATAGTGTCTTCTCGAATGGACAAAACCCATTACACTGTGTTAGAATTTGCTAAATCCTTTGCATTACCATGCCTTATGTATTGTGATAAGTAGCTGCTTTCTCAAGCATTGTGACAACATCCTAACGCCACCACACTGACCTTTGGTACTTGTGTTCTATCTGCCCTGTTCATGAGGTCTGACATTTATTCATACAAAGTAAAAGCAGGAGAGACTAAGGGGAGTTTTATAAGCAAATATCAATTTTATGAACTATGTTAACTTAAAAAGAAAAAAGACGTCCTTGAACCATCCAGGAGGATACGGGTTAATTGTAAGAGGGGAGAGGGTTCCTGTACAGAATTACTATGAAAGTAGGAAAACTTGGAAGTGAGACTATCCCACAGAGTCAGGACTTTTGTAGTTGGTGCCCTGACTGTATGCTAAGGCATCTTTATGTTATGGTATAAATCTTACCTTAACTTCCACATGTGCCATTAATACTGCAAAATTGGTTAGGTGGTTACAAGAGCATGTAGTATGTGTCTTATTTGTTGTCAGGAGCCGACAGCCTTGTGTTGACCAATAGCCTGTCATTGTGCGTTTGGAATAGCTCCAAAAGGAACAGTTCGGATTGAAATTTTCCTCGGACTGCTTCAGGAAAAAGAAAATCAATAAAACCAGTAACTACTTTGTGATCATGTAAATTAGGTAGGCATTTTCTTTACATCTAACACAACTTTGTACTCTGGCCCAGCTTTGGTGGAGATTCCTACCAGTGTCTCATACTGAGTGGGTCTGTCAAGTCTAACCAAATTTGAAAGTTGTTTATTCCCCCTGGTAAGAGATAAGTTTACTTTATTACTGAAGGAAGACTAGTATCGATGTTTCAGAATTACACCAATTAACTTCAAAGTAAAGTATATAGGATGGTCTTTAGAAATCTTTGTCCAATTTATAATACAATCTTTGAATATACACAAACACATATCTACACATAAAGACATACTAATTATAATATCATATGTGATGTCATGTCCAATTCCAGTGAATATATTGCTAGATCTTTTTTAATTATGAAAAAGCATTTATATATATCCATGTATGAATATTTTTACCATAAGTATTTACATATTCAAAAATTATTCTTCTTCATTTCAGAAAAAAAAATCACCATGATCATTTCATAGATAATGAATTGATATATGTGTAATAATGGGGAAAAATTAAAAGAAAATTAATAAACTTCATATTCATGCTACAACAAATATAGGTAATGTGGACAAATAAACATAACATGCCATTTTCTTACCTTAATATGTTTAACAGTAAATACCACAGGATCAGCCAAATAAACCTTATTACTGAATTCTTTATTTATTGCTGCTGTAATAACAGGAGAATTGACGATGACAGAATGATTGGTGGACATAGCCTCTGTCCCTAGTTTCATGCTGGCATTCTCCGTGGACAAGTAAGGACCCAAGTTGTTATACAGGACAAAAGCCACTCTGATCTCTCCTAAAATAAAGGCAGATCTGAATTATAAAGCGGGAAGACACTTTCATTACTTTGCATGTTCCACTTAAATGAGATAGTTCTAACTGGGTTGTAATTAAACCTGCATAAAGAATACTACAGCAAAACTGAAGCACTCACTTTAACCAGATGTCAGCTCATGCATAAGGCAAGTTAAGTCAAAATTAGGCTGAAACAACAACATATCAGTATTTCAGAAAAGTGAACCTCAGTCCCTATCTTACTCCATACTCAAAAACATAATTCAAGATGGAGTACAGATCTAAACATAAAAACCATAACCACGAAATATACAATATCTTTATGATCCTGAAGAAGGCACAGATGAGTTGGACAGAACCCAAGAAACACCAACCATAAAAGAAAAAAAGGTAAACTGAATTTATCAAAATTGAAAATTTGTGTCTATCAAAATACAGCAATAAGAAAATGCATCACAGACTAGACTAGGGAATATATTCATGTATATGTATGTATTACACATGTATATTTATATATTACATATTATATATACAAGACTTAAGAATATTTAAAGCAGTTCTGCTAATCAATAATGAAAGAATAAATACTACTAAAACAGCAGAAGACAAACACACACTTTAGAAAAAAGATGTGAAAGGCTAGTAGACACTTGAAAATAACCAACATCATTAAAAATTAAGGAAACAAAAATTAAAATCACAATGAAATACCATTTCATTCCCACTAGAATCTCTAAAACCAAAATGACTGATCATATTAATGTTGGTAAGAATATGGAACAATTGGGATTCTCATACACTGCATGTGGGAATGTAAAATGGTTCAACTATTTGGAAAAAATGTTAGGTAATTTCTTATAAAGATAGGCATATATCAACCCTTCCTAGACAAGTGAAAATATATATCCACAAAGAAAAAAACTTGTATAATAATGTTTATAGCACCCTAATTCATAATAGCCTCAAAGTGGAAACAACTCAAAAATCCATCAATAGGAGATAAATCATGGCATATAAGCATAATGGAATATACTATGCACAAATAAGGAACAAACTACTGATAGATGGAGTATCATGACTGAATCCCAGAAGTACTATACTGAATTAAAGAATATAGACAGAAATATAGTACATACTCTTTGATTCCAGTTATATGAAGTCTAAGAACAGGCAAAATTTGCCTATAGAAATAGTAATGAGAAGAAAATAGTTTCATTAGGTGGGGTGGGCAGGTGGTGAGAAGACTGGAAAGAGGCACCAGGGAACTTGTTGGGTAATAAAAGGTATTTATAGCTTATTTTATGTGATATTACAATTTTCTTACCTTAATATGTTTAACAGTAAATACCACAGGATCAGCCAAATAAACCTTATTACTGAATTCTTTATTTATTGCTGCTGTAATAACAGGAGAATTGACGATGACAGAATGATTGGTGGACATAGCCTCTGTCCCTAGTTTCATGCTGGCATTCTCCGTGGACAAGTAAGGACCCAAGTTGTTATACAGGACAAAAGCCACTCTGATCTCTCCTAAAATAAAGGCAGATCTGAATTATAAAGCGGGAAGACACTTTCATTACTTTGCATGTTCCACTTAAATGAGATAGTTCTAACTGGGTTGTAATTAAACCTGCATAAAGAATACTACAGCAAAACTGAAGCACTCACTTTAACCAGATGTCAGCTCATGCATAAGGCAAGTTAAGTCAAAATTAGGCTGAAACAACAACATATCAGTATTTCAGAAAAGTGAACCTCAGTCCCTATCTTACTCCATACTCAAAAACATAATTCAAGATGGAGTACAGATCTAAACATAAAAACCATAACCACGAAATATACAATATCTTTATGATCCTGAAGAAGGCACAGATGAGTTGGACAGAACCCAAGAAACACCAACCATAAAAGAAAAAAAGGTAAACTGAATTTATCAAAATTGAAAATTTGTGTCTATCAAAATACAGCAATAAGAAAATGCATCACAGACTAGACTAGGGAATATATTCATGTATATGTATGTATTACACATGTATATTTATATATTACATATTATATATACAAGACTTAAGAATATTTAAAGCAGTTCTGCTAATCAATAATGAAAGAATAAATACTACTAAAACAGCAGAAGACAAACACACACTTTAGAAAAAAGATGTGAAAGGCTAGTAGACACTTGAAAATAACCAACATCATTAAAAATTAAGGAAACAAAAATTAAAATCACAATGAAATACCATTTCATTCCCACTAGAATCTCTAAAACCAAAATGACTGATCATATTAATGTTGGTAAGAATATGGAACAATTGGGATTCTCATACACTGCATGTGGGAATGTAAAATGGTTCAACTATTTGGAAAAAATGTTAGGTAATTTCTTATAAAGATAGGCATATATCAACCCTTCCTAGACAAGTGAAAATATATATCCACAAAGAAAAAAACTTGTATAATAATGTTTATAGCACCCTAATTCATAATAGCCTCAAAGTGGAAACAACTCAAAAATCCATCAATAGGAGATAAATCATGGCATATAAGCATAATGGAATATACTATGCACAAATAAGGAACAAACTACTGATAGATGGAGTATCATGACTGAATCCCAGAAGTACTATACTGAATTAAAGAATATAGACAGAAATATAGTACATACTCTTTGATTCCAGTTATATGAAGTCTAAGAACAGGCAAAATTTGCCTATAGAAATAGTAATGAGAAGAAAATAGTTTCATTAGGTGGGGTGGGCAGGTGGTGAGAAGACTGGAAAGAGGCACCAGGGAACTTGTTGGGTAATAAAAGGTATTTATAGCTTATTTTATGTGATATTACAGAAGAATATACAATTGTCAAATTCATCAAGCTGAACACTTAAGAAAAGTGCCTTTGATTGCATGTATATTACATCTTAATTGCAACTAAAAAGAAAAACATTGATTCAAAATCTTTCCTTGTCTTAAAACTCAAGTATCATGTTCTTTTAAGGTCACTTTCTCCATATGTCCTTCTACCTTATTTTTCCCCTCAAGATAATCTCTTACATGTGATCCTTTGTAAAATTAATCTTAACACATTTATCATATCTCCTATCTTAAAAAAAAAAGCCCTATGCGGCACTTCCAGTATTAATTCCTACCAGTTCACCAAGAAATAGGCATGACCCTGACTGATGTGGTTGCTAAGATGAGAAAGTCAAAATCCTTGTCCCTGAAGCTTAGAGCTAAGTGAGAATAAAGAGAAATAAATTTTAATTTTTTTTTCTTTTTAAGGTAAGAGGGTACTGTCAACATCTAAACTGTGCTGCCATATTTGGGAAATTCCTTACTGTTAGGGATTACTAGACACAAAATGGACATATACTTGCTTCCCCAGTCTGCCTTGCAAAGAGGCTGCCCCGGGCACCTCAGCTAGCTGAGTCCACAAGTCTCAGACTTCAGATGAGGCGCTAGTGACACAGGAGGCAGGAGGTGGGGCAAGAGCAGCAGCCTTCACTCGTACTTCACTGGTGGTAGCAATGATTCTGTGCGACGGACAGGCTGCCATTCACTTCTTTCTCCTGTATGTTCTCTGAACCTGATTATCCAGTCTGCTCAGTGATTCTATGGGATCGCTACTGTCCTTTCAGTAATTCAGCAAAGAGATTATGATAAAAGCTACATGAAGGAAATGGCATTTGTAAACTTCCAATCCACATCTGTTAACATAGTACTGACCAAACCATAGTAAATCACTAGACACTTCTAGTCTGTTACAACATAGCATTTAATTTTAGTTCTTTCCCTCTAGACTTATAAAAATGCTGATTTTTTAAAAGGCCAAACTTAGGAAAATCTATGTATTTTTCTTGTTGGCAGGAATAACTTTTATTTTAATTGGTTTGTAATTGACTGATAATTTGTATCGATTTTCACCTGTGGGATGCTGACATGTTGCCTCCCCACCTTTTTTTACCAGTGCATTTAGTAGCATATGACTGTTACAGATTCTCCACTCCCAAATTAATGCTTACATGTGACATAACACACACACACACACACACACACAATACATTAATTTAGCAAACAAATGAGCACAAAACATAATATGACTAATGTGGACATATTTCAATATTCATTAGCTGTGTATCTGAAAGTTCACACATTTATTTGATAAATCCTTAGTGCATCTATGTGTCATGCACTTGGGTTACATCAGTGAACAAGTTAGAAAATGTCTCTGTTGTCATGAAGCTTACTGCTTGGACGAAGAGTCAGACTATAAGCAGGCAACTTAAAAATAAATAAATAAAATTTCATATAATGGTAGGTCAATAAACGCTATGAAGAAGCATTGGCATAAAATGGCTAATAGGAAAAAAGTGATTGGGAAAGAGTGGTTTACCTTTGGGGAGACAGGGAAAACCTTCCTAAAGAGGTAAGATTTATACTGAGCAGTGAATAATAGAGAAGCTTCTTTATAAAGAATTATAAAAAATGTATTCCAGGAAGAAAGAAAATAAAATGCAATAATCTGACACAGGAACACTTCTGTGTTCAAGAAACAGAATTGAGTCTTGACTAAGGAACCCTTGTGCATTGTTATGGGAATGTAAATTGGTGCAACCAGTATAGAAAACACTATGGAGAGTCCTCAGAAAATCAACAATATAACTACATATGATCTAGCAATTTCACTTCCAGGTATTTATCTGAAGGGAATGAAAACACTAACTCTAAAAGATCTATGCACCCTTATGTTGAAGTGTTATTTACAAGAGCCAAGACATGGAAACAACCTGAGTGTTGACTGATGGATGAATGGATAACGAAAACATGGTACCTACATGCAATGTAATTTTATTCAGTCATAAAAAAAAATTTGACATTTGTGACAACATGGGTGGACCCTCACTTATGCTAAAAGAAGTAAGTTAGACAGAGACAAATGCCATGTGATCTCATTTATATGTCAAGTCTTAAAAGTGATAACAACAAAAATTGAACTCACCAATGCAGAGAACAGATCGCTAGGGTGTGAGTGAAATAGTTGAAGGGGGTCAAGAGGTATGAACTTCCAGTCATAATAAATAAGTCATGGGGAGGTAGTACACAGTATGGGAACTGTAAGTAATACTGTATTGTACATTTTGAAAGTTGCAAAGAGAGTAGACCTTAAAAGTTCTCATCACCAAAAAAAAATTTGTAGCTTTTTGTGATAATGGATGTTAACTAGACTTTCAGAGGTGATCATTTTGCAATATATACAAATATCAAACCCTTATGTTGTCTACCTGAAACCTATAAAATATATCATATATCTCAATTAACAAAAGCATATCAAGACTAGAATGTCTGGATCACAGACAGTATGTGACAGATAGACTGGAAGTGGAGCAGATGAGGCAGGAAAGGAGGGGACCGGGCAGCACATGGTAGCCGAGTTAAGCCATTTGATCTATTTTAAGTGTCACTGGAGTGGACTGGTCAGACTTATGTTTAGGAAGAACGCTTCATCAACAGCCTAAAACTGTTAGGGGGCAAGGACTGGAAAAAGGGAAACCAGTTAGGAGCTAATGCAGGAATCTAATTTTGCTGTGTAGAAAATCTTATTGGTGACTCAAAATTCACACAGTCAAATGAACAACATAATAGTGATTTGTAAATTCAGTCTTAAAACAACAATAATTTGTTTTTCTAGATATTATTTAACAAGCTCTTCTTTTTTAAAAACTATTCACCCTACAATATAAAACATCAGTTTTGAGTTGGTTGCTAGGACCTGAGTCATCTTCTTATCATCTAACAGGTTAAGGGATCTAACTTTCTTGGCAAAAAATATGCTTTTAAAAATTAGGTATTGGCAAGGCTTGAGACATACCTTCTCTATGAGATAATTTCTTCATTTAAGTTTAATTACATGCAGTAAATATAATCTAGTACTAAACAGACCTATATTTACCAATTCCATTCCCCAAAAGCATCTCCTTACATTTATATTTTCTGTATGCTTTGCAAAGGAAAAGCACAGAAACAATCTCAGAAAGAAATCAATAAGGAAAAAAAATTAATTACAAGTAAAATTTCCATTAAAAATTTTAGGAACTTAAATCTGTCAACTTAGTGAGAGTTACTCCTTTCAAGGAAAGAGTCAGATCAACTAGATTTTGTTGTTCATTAATTTCTCACATATTCATGTTTCTGACATTTTACTATAACTGAAGTCACTGAACAATTTACAAATCTGATTGAGAATTTTATAGAACATATACCAATATACTATTGGTGTAGGAGATAAGAAAGGGAGCAAGCAGGGCACGAGAAAGAGAACAGGTAAAGAGAGAGAAAGAGCTTTCAGTTAGTAGATCTAAAATTCCAAGCCAAGAAGCAAAGAATGACAAGTTCAATTCCATCAAGTTTAACAAATAAACTCTAACCTACCATTCCGGCCATTTTGTTTTAAGGTATTTGCAGAAAGCTGGATAGTGCTTCCATGAGCCATGTTTTCTGGGAATTTTAGGTCTTCTAAGTTTCCTTCTGTGCTAAGTCTTGCAACTTCCAATTCTGTTAATGGCAAAAAGGTATCAGTGCTCATTGAGAAACATGCCAAAGCTGAGATAATTTCCTAAATCACTGAAATCATTCTGAAATCAAAACACTGAAATTAATGTTCTATTTGTCACATTTTATAGTAGTTCAATCTTTTATTTAGAAAGTGCTTGTTTAGTATTTTCATTCTTTTCAAAGTAAAGCAAATAAATGCTGTTAAAATTAGGTAAATAAGAATATAAATGTCACCACTTATAAAGTCTGAATTTTAAAATTCAGTCTCAAATCCTTATAATTTCTCACTGTCTTTAAGTTTATTTTCAAAATGGTATCTTTATTTTATGAATTACATAAAAATCCTTTTATAATCTAGAGCTATACTCATATCAGTATTGATCTATCATTAAATCTATTAAGTTTGAAACTGCTTTATCAAATCTTCTGAAATAAAACTGGCAGCTACATCCTTATGCACAATAAATATAGATTTATATTCTTTCAGAATAACAATTATTAAACATTGTTATATCACCTTCACTTAAACGACTGATTTCTTTACAGTACCTAATTCAGACACTCCTTTTACAACTGAAGCGATCCATAAGCCCTGTATTGGGAGGATACAATTATTTCTAAAGAGTACAATATGTACCTAGATACATATATACATAAAAACTAACAACAAAAAACGCACCTCAGTGTAAGTGATCTAAGGTTGATATATCCAGTATTAGAATATCCTAAAGATGATAGTGTACATAATTATGAGGACTCTTTTAAGCCAACAACAGGTGATATCCTTTTAATTATAGAAAAGTAATAACATCTCCACTGAAATAAAGTGTCACTCATTATTATCTGGAACACCTTAGAGACCTGTTTCTTTTCCTTCCTTCTCTGTACATGGGTCTCTGGCCCTTCTGTATAACAAAGGCCACTTACGGATATTGTCTGTGTTCTCCCTGACAATGTCAGTCTTCAAAAGGTTATCAGCCAGCACAAAAGCACTTTCCTCCACAGTATCGAGCAACATGGTGGCTGCACGTAGTTGATCACTTGTAGTCAGGTCTCTCCACGCATTCAACGCTTGTGGCTGGAGGAGGTTGTTAACTGTCTCCACCATCGCCTATAAGAGGACGAACAGAATGACAGAGGTCTCTAGTGAACCCACAGAGCCGTCAGAAATCCAGGAGTACATGTTGCCCAGCGAGCAAGGATCAGCGGTGTGCATGATTCAGTATTGTCCCAGCCTCCCCTGTGACATGCTGCAGTGGAAGCATTCATTATTTTGTTCTGTAAAACCCTAGCTGAGACTGCAAGGCAAGAGGAAAAGCTGCTTTTGTTTTGAGGACAGCAAATAGAACCATGCTTGCTTCTTAGAATCAATAGCAAAGACTTCAGTAAGACTATAATCACATCACTAAATTATTTGGTTGGGCAACTACTGGCATGTAATTTAGACCAACACTTTTATCAGATCATCCACAAAAAGTGATTTTTTTCTATATATTACCATAAAACTAGATGCTGAACACAACAGAGATTAAAAGGATCGACTACAGTCTAGACAATACAAGAATTTGTTGCCTATAGGTTGAAGATTTAATGAGCAACTAATTTTTTTCTCAGCCAGCTAGTAAAATGTCAGAATGGGAAAAATATCAAAGCATACACACTCCCAGGGGCTTTGAATATGTTCTGTGTGAACATAAACCTCCTTCATGCTGTTTACTGTTCAGAGGTGAATGAACAGTTGGAACTTGCTACCTATGGCCTTATGTGTTTTCCCTTAAAAAAAATAACAAATCAGCAGTAGATACACTCACTCACAGCAATAAACCACCACATTTCCCATTGCTTCATCCAAAAGAATCATTTCTCTAGTTACAGTTTATACATTTCCTGTGGTTAGCTTTATGTTAGAAGTTACAAAGAGAAAGCAGTTCTCTCAAAAAGGTCTTCTTAAGGTTTCATTTAAACACTGGAGAATTGCAAAATAGAAAAATACAACAGCTACAGTTAGAGTGATCAGCCCTGAAAAAAAACGCTGATTATGATATGCATCTAATCCAGAAATACAGTTGAATAAACAGCCAACTCAGAGACTTCCTAGGCAGCATACAGGTGTTTTAAAACAGGACTCACATTACTGACACACTGGCAGAGGGATTGGAAGAAATAGGAGAAAATACCTATTACACTGCAGTGTTTTCATAGTAACCAAGTAACAACTGTTAAAAATTCAGCTTCATAATGAAACACCTTGGCTGCCAATTAACACCAGCTTCACAAACTAATTCGCCTTTTGATAAGAATTGTTTTTCTTGATATTTTTCCTAGCTATTCAAAGTTCTGGCCAAAAATCAACATCACTGGAGTTTCATGTAAAACAGTCCTATTTGCAACTTAAGTAGTTTGCATTATTAAAATATAATAATAATGATGAGTTTAATGACTGCCCATTTTCATATAGTGTGCTTAGTTCTGTCATTTGTTCTGGGTTTAAAGCATGACCTAGAAGCCAGACAAAAGCATTTCCGGATCACAACAAAATAACCTGCTTTCCAGGAAGTTTTCTATAGGGGTAATGCCAACAGACTATGCCAAAAGGGAGGTGTCAGACAAGAAACAAACAAAAAAAAAACTTTAGGTATTTTCTGAAGCCAAACAGAGAACACCAACCTCTTGAGTGTAAAGAAGTATTCTTTCTGGGGTCAGATGATCCTCTGAATTCATTAGAAATGCTCTGAAAATCTTACATGCAACAGAAATTTTGCCTGTTCTGTAAGGAGCAGCCATTTTAGCTTTAGTTAATAATCTTACATTGATTATTTTAAACCTTACTGCAGGGAAAATTTATTGGGGATAATACAATATTTCTGCTCTGCCTTTTATTGCTTTTAATTTTTTTAATTAAAACATTACAAAAGGAGAAAAATATTTTTAAAACATAAGGAAAGGAAACAACTATGGTCATCTCTGAGAATGTTCTAAAGAGGAACCTGTTTACAACAGAATGCTTTATAAATTACTGTGTCTGAGTTGACAGCAAATGAATCAAAAGCACCCCTTATTAATTTATTTTAGTTTTGCAACTGAAAATCTATAAGGCACAATATTTTTTCAGAGTTATAAATTTTGAGTACATTTGCAACAACTGCATCTTCCCAAATAAGACATAGTTTTTACTTAGAGAAGCTTTCTATTAATGCTCAAATGATCTCCACATTTTTTATTGACAGGACAGACTTAAAGTAAGACCCTAAGATCTAGGTGGTTTAAGACACAAATCTAACATTCATTTATTCCTTAAAAAGCACCTGTTATGATTGCTTAAGTATAATTGTAAGGATACATACATGAACACAAGGATTGAGAGACAGAATTCTGCAGTGCTAAAAAGAGAGTGTGGAACTGGAACCACATCTGCTGAATTCACACCTGGACTCTTCCACTGACTAGCTGTGTGATGTTGGTTAAGTTACTTAATGTCTTTGTACTCGATCTGTGAATCAGAGATGATGATATACTCATTTCATCAGCTTGCCTGGCTCATAATAAGTGCTTAAAGTAATTTACTTTCATTTGCTATCAAAATCCAGTTTGAGAAGAAGAGAGGTCTCCACTGAATGCAGTACAAGTCAAACCTGATCATTTCAAAATACTCACAATGAAGTGAAATGTGCAAGGAATAACTTCTGCAATGCAGTCTTCATAAAGCAGCCTATTACATAATTTAACTACTAAAGACTACTGCCTGAAGCTTTGAAGAGTATGTGTAATAAAGAGTTCATAATGTGTGTTCTAGAAGCTTGAACAAAATGACCTACTTTTTGCTAGTGAGACAGCACAATTAAACCAATCTTAATAGCTTTATAATTAATACAACTTGTTCAACTTTTCAAAAATTTCCTAATATGTCCCTGTTACCAGTTTAATGAAGGCCATTTAATAGTCACAACTCCTTAATGATAAAATAGTATCTCTGTTTTGTTTTCCTTATACATTTATGCATTTGTATGTTTTATCCACAAATGATGACATTTGGACATAATTTTCTTAAAACCAGTTATTTGCATTGCTTTCATTAGATCACCAACATCTCTTTAAGAACAGGTTAATTTTCATTTTATTTTATTACAAAGAAAGAACTATTCTTAGAACTGAAGTTAAATGGGAAATATACAGTGAATTTGATTAAAGTGAGGGATTTCACTTTAATGTCCAACAGTTCTCACTGATTTCTTTTTTCTGCTATAAATATTTTTCTGATCTAAAATTTTTATTCTGAAGTTGGAAGAAAATAAAATTGGCCCTGCATTTATATTAAAGAAATTTTACTCTCACCATAATGGCTTGATCTGGGAGAAAAAAAAGATAGCCTAATGACTTTCATATATACAGATTTAAATAATCTAAAATTTTGAGAAGCAAATTTAATCAACTGTTATTGTCAGAAACTAAATATTATCTCACTTCAATATCTTTTCAAACACTAGAAGCTGAATAAGAGGTGGTCGCTGGAAATTCGAATTCTAGTTCTGCCACCACATTTCAGTGTGACCTTTGGGCAAATTTATGTTTTCTAACCAATCAACAAAGTGCGAATTACCAAGAAAATAAGTCTCATCATGTTTCAATTTGATGGTAGTAAGGCTCATCCTATTACTAGATAACACTCTTCTCATGATATAGTTTATGGCCTAGATTCTAAAGTGACTTTTTGCTGTTTCTAAAAATCAGTATCAATTAGAAGTTTCCAAAGTTACTTAGATCCATATCAAGATTACAGGCATATCATATCCTTCTGGACATATATTTATATTATACAACATTATTGGGCCTCTTATCATTAAATTCAGATCTTGAGCATATTCATTTGACTAGTTTTACTCATAGCATATAACTAGTATATTTGTTAAAAGATGTTATAAACTGTAAAATCACACTTTGTATATTTCAAAAGGGAAAGTTTATTTATAACTAAAAGTTTGAGGAAACCCAAATAACAACTTTTGTCATTATTGCAAGAGGATAGGATTCCTTAGGAAGAATACAGAAAAGGATAAACCATGAGGAACATCAATGGTACTTCTTACCTAGGTTAGCGGTAAATCTCAATCTAAGCAAGCAGGATCAGCTCGGGAACTTAGTTATCCCTCTTCCTTCCCTTGAAAACCACCAAAATAAATATCCAAGCAGCATAAATGTCTTGTAAAAGATACATAATTTTACCACCATTACATTTTTCTGAAGATAAGCTTTTAAATCATGAGCTAGCTCATTGAGTTTTTAGCTCAAATATCAGCTGCTCAAAGAGATCTCCTGTATCAGCATTTCTAGAGAGAATCTCCACCTCCTCTCCCTAAATCCATTACCTGTTTTTTTTCTTAGTATCATGTATCATTATCTAATGTATCTCATATTACCTATATGATATTTTATATCTTTCACTAAAGAAAACGTAACCATCATGAGGGCAGTGACTCTGGCTCATTTACAAGTGCCAACAACTCTACCTGGCACACAAAAAGTATCTAATAGTTCTATGCTGAGTGATTGTCATCAGTAAAGATTCATACTTAAGTGAGTATTCTCCATTTTCATACCATCAGAAAAAAAAATCTCAGAGAGTTCTGATTTTGTAAGTATAAGAGCAAAGAATATCTAAGTACAAATTTAAAAAACCTATTAACTACCCAATATACTTGAATCATTATTATTTTAGAGATTCAATGCCACAATGACTACCATTTTAGTACTTATTTACTTTTAATAGAATTACTCACATTTGTCTGGCTTTTTCACTAGACATGAGGTTCTCAGGGGAAAGAGAATGTTCATTTATGTTTTCCCAGGGTAAATTTATTGCCTTGAGGCATTTTGGGTATTCAATAAATGCTCATTAAACAAAGGCAACCTGTTTTTACTATCAAATCATTCATGACCATACATATAACAGGAAAACTGAAAACATTTTCTTCTAGTTATATAACTTTTTATCATATCTCCCAGGAAGTATTCTGAGAGAATAAAATGCTGAAATATCACCATGCTTTGGAAGGAAGGCTGGCTGAATTAGAGGGAATCAAGACCACTGAGTTCAAAAGGAAAGAACCTGTACCA